CCATGGTGGATCACCACCATTCAATTGTTTTACAATGTTTATGGCCATCGCATGATGTTTGGAGGCATAAGGCCACAAAGAAAGAGGCATGTTGGCCTGGAGGAGGTTGGAGAGCGCCCCTTCCAAAATGGTGCGGACTTCACGCTCAACAACCGCTTTGGTGGAATGTTGATATTCAACAGAAGTCTGGTGCTTGAAACCAAGTTCTTCTATGGCATCCAGCATTTCTGGAGCGTTGTCGGTATACACTATGCCAACAATATCAGAAGTCTTCAGAAAATGTTTAAAAGCTTTCACAATGGAATCGGCTGTTTTGTTTTCTGAAGGATAAACACATCTGTATTGAGTATAAACATCTTTGATCACCAACATTGACGTTTGGCCTTCTATCCCTTCTTCAATATCCTTGGGAATAACATGGTCGCACACTATGTGGTCGCCAAACCCACGCGCCAAAACATGTTGTGATCCGCCTACGCTTCTACCGTAGGGAGCAAGCATTTTAGCTTCGCTACAAACATCGCAGTAGGGATTCTTTGGTCGATGTGTGAATTGATGCGCCCCTGATTTTGCTTCCTTTCGAAGTTGCTCTTCGGTCTTCTCCCCTGCTACGGGAACGTCTTCAAAATCAAAAGGAACCTCAACTTCTGGGTCACTGTCCTCTTCGTCCTCCTGTCCATCATCGGCATTGGCATCTACGCCAGCTTCGTCAGCCTCCTCTTGGTCTTCCTCGGGTTCGGACTCATGGCTGGCCATGGCGTAGCCCTGGTCGATGGTGAACTGGTGGATGGAATCGAGTACCTTAGTAAGGCGAGTCCTCAGTGATTCAGGAATTGAGAATGGGGTACATGTTTCATCAATATATGGAACCCTACCTTGCAATTTGAATTTAACGCATTGTCCATCAGGTCGAAGAAATATGGGAGTAGTGTCCTTTCCCCAAACAAATCATATCCCTGTTCTAAGCACCTCAAACCAATTGAAAGTGCAGAGGGAGTACTTTGGAGAATGTAGGGGTTGAAGGATTCACATAACCCTGGCAAGATCACCTCTACTACTTCGTCAGCAGTGATAGGTCCATTGGCAGTAGTAAGGGAGATTGGTTCGTTGGATTTGAATATCTTGGTGGCCCTGTTGACTGTCTTAGAGTCCTTACCTACGATGTCCTGGTCAGTGCCAGTGTCACCCAGCCACTTCTCCATACCAACCATGTTTGGCATCGCTGTTAAGCGAGCACATGACGGCACCTGTTCTCCGACGACTGTTCTGCACTTCGTGCAGCACAAATCATCGGGGCCTTCTGGGGAATGTTCACAAAGGAAATCACACGCAGGCTCCTCGGTATCCATCGAAACGAGCATCTGCCTAAGTGACTCCGCTGCCAAAATGGCGTCCTTAGTGTCACACTCGCGGGACTTTGGGCATTCCTCAGTGGTCCGGAACAGGTTCCGCTTCTTGCTCTTATTCACTACATGCCGGTACATTTCCTTCCAAACAGGAAAGGTGTGTACCTCCGGTTCTAATTCAAAACGAATTCTCTTCTCTTGCACAACACGGAAAATTGACTTTCCAGTCCAATCAAATTTCTGTTTCGCGTTTGGGTGTTTCTTCCAATTACCCTTGATTGTCCTACTCTTTCCCTTTGAGTCAGTGACTACCATGGTAAACTGGTCTTCCAACCTAGATGACTCAACTGGACAGGATTTACGTGTTGGGAGAAACGACCTGTGCCTAGGCTTCAAATGGTGCCTAATCAACTCATTGCCATCTTTGGAGAATTCCCAGTAGTCTTTACTCTTTTGGGTCCGAGTTGCGGTTGCTGCTAAGCAAGACATTGCGAAACCTGTTTGAATACATGGACTGGCCTTTGGACTTTTGTCCTTCTTTTCCCGTTTGCTCTTTTTGTCCTTTTTGTCCTTCTTGGATTTCTTGTCCTTAGACCTTTTAGCTGCGGGCGAGGGACTCCTTCTGCGCGGGGCTGGTGTTGCAGTGTCTCCGTGTTTAAACGGGCATTTGTCACCCCTTTTGCAGTTACCCTTTGCAAAGAACCTGCATGGCTTGTCAGATTTCCTCCCTCTACTGGAGCTTCTTGATGAGTTCCTTGAACTGGAGCGGGAAGTGTGTCTTGACGAACTTCGAGATCGGCTTGACCTGAACGATGAACGGCTGCTCGGACTTGCGCTACGCGAACGAGACGACTCCCGACTAAGGGAGCGGGGACGGGCGCTAGAGTCGTGTGAGTACTTGCATCTGCTCCCGTACTTACACTTACCAGTTTTGGCATACTCATAGCATTGATTGCTTCCGTCACCCTTTGTGCTTCGTTTGCCATAACTTGGGCTTCGCGTGCGCTTGTCGTGCGGTGCCGGGTTTGCGAACTTTGCCGCGTGTGATTGTGATATCTTTTCGCGATTGGTCCTGAGCCTTTCCCTGTCAAGGTAACGTCGAACAGAATTGATAAGAAATTCATAGCTTCTGTCGTTACTTCCCTCCGGCGCTCGTTCATAAACATCAAGGTCAAATCTGAGCTTGCGGGACTTCCTAACCTCTCTATAAAACAAATCCTTGAGAGTTGCCGGGTCTGGGACATGACTCATTCCGGTCAGAACACTCTCCCATTTTCTTAGAAAGGATTTCAAGTCGTCGCTATCAAGCGAGATCTTGAGGAGGTCCTCAGTGCCATACAGTGCACCCGCTTCTTCACTGGTCTTGAAGTGGACTTCAAACATGAGCAACACCTGACGACCACGGACGATCCTACCTTGCTGTGCCTCAGATTCCTTATAATTAAGGATCTGCTGAGACAGTTCACCTTTGGCAACCTTAGTTAAAGCAGCAAGTAGTTTCGTGTCTAAGGTCCGAAACTTGCCTGGGTCAGCCAATTCGGAACAAAGCTTGGCTTTGTCTTCACGAACAGCGTACACCTCAAGCACCCATGCGAACGCAGCGTCTGGGTCATCGGACGCGGACCGTATCGCTTCGCGAACAGCGGCCCTCCAAGTGCGGTACCTATCAGGACTTGGGAATTCGGGAAGATCTATCTTATCAGCCTCCTTTGCCTTGGGTTTGTCAGAGTCTTTGCTCTTAGCGCCCTTAAACCCTTCTAGCAAGGCCTTCTTGATGATTTCCCCCAAATCTTGGTCTTGTGGAGTTCTTACCTGAGAAGCCGGCCCTTCGTCCTTGCGATCATCCTTAGTCTTTGTTGCTTCCTGATTAAAGGAGCTTTTGTACAAAGGATCATCACTGAAGTTATATTGTGCTGACTTCTTCATGTACTCCGTCCACGGATCCGGTTGTTTGAATTGTTGCCTGTCCGTAGAGGCCGTTGCCTGTTCCGCTGCGGGCGCCCGTGTCCCTGAGAACATTGATGAGAATCCAGTGTTGCGCGTGGACGCTGTTGCATCCATAGCCGTCTTTATAGGGGATCCGCCTTCCTCACGGGGCTTACCGTCTAATGTTGCTGGAACAGTGCCTTCCGTGCGTAGAGGTTCAAAAGATCGCGGTTGACCAATTGGGTGAGCGTCTTGTCGAGCAGAAGATGTAAGTGGCTCAGGATATTGCGGCCCTGGCTTAACGGGGCTAGAGGATTGCGCCTTGCGCTCCGCTTCCTTGCGTTCCTCTTCCCTGTCTGTCAAGGACTGTACAACACGTCTGAGCTCGTCCATTTCACCCTTCAACATTGCATTGTCCTTGCGAAGCTCAACTATAGTTTGCTCTTGCGTTTCCCGATCAACCTTATATTGCTTATTTGTTGTCTCCATCTCATTGACAAGAGTTTTGATCTTTGCCTGTGCAATTGCTAACGAACTGTCCAGTTGTTCTCGCTTGAAGTCAAGCTCTATGGCGATCCGGGATTCTTCAGCAGACGAATGTCTTGCCTGATCCTTTGCCTCTAGAGCTGCCTTCAGCTTGGCCTCCTGTTGCTCAACATACTGGTGATGTTCAGTTCTCATTTTGTCAACAAAAGCATTGCCTTCTTCCGCCATGGCATTCTTTTCCTGTACAACTTTCTCATGAGCTGCTGTCGCCTGAGCTAGCCGCTGCTGAAAATGTTCCCTTTGCTCCTCCAATGTACCTTGCAACCGTTTGATTGCAACATTGTCTTGCTGTTGGACCATTTGCTGAACACTTTGTTCCTGCTGTTGGGCCCTTTGTTGAACATTCAACATTGCCTGCTCTGCGGCAGCCTTTGTTGCCGCTATAGATTCGGAAGCTTCTCTTTCGTAAATACTCCTGAAGCGCAATGCCTCGATTTCAGCTTCCCTCCTGGCTTGTTCGCTGAGCAAAAACTCATGTTGTTGTAACTCCCGTCGTAGTTCTTCGTCGTTTGGCGTTGCATTCAGGTTGACGACGTTGAGCCGAGTCATTGCCAACAAGTTGTTTACTGTTGGCGCACCAGCTACGGTGGCTGACGGCATACCTGCTAGGGTAGCTTGTGTCGCCTCTTGAAGAGTAACACTACCACCACTATTTAGCATCTCTTGGTACACCTCCGAAGCAACCCTTGGATCCATTGCAGCCACTTGTGCAACCGCTTGTTCATGCCGTTGAACTGCATCCAAACTATTGGGCACACTCGGAACTATGTCAAAGCCACTTCCGTAGGAGTTTGGTGGGACGTCGTCATCCATCGGGTCCATAGCTCTAATCTAGCTAGCCTACGGCTGATAACCTGTATTTTACAGGATCAGCTCTAATAGTACTAACTACCTAGCTAACCCTGCTAGTCCGGTAAGCGCTACCTTTTGCTTTACCTTGAGAGTCAACGCTACGGGGTCCATGGGGATGAGGTGAATTTCAACAGAATCTGACAGGTCCAATTGTGCTCAGCCTTTTGCAGGTCGGCCAAAGCAATGGTCAATGCCAAATTCACAACTGAGTAGTTAGGAGAACTGTGAAAATAGATATGTAGCACTTTTCAGCCACCAAAACAGACCGTTGACAAGAAAGCACCCACAACTTGCATCATAAAAGATTGTGCTCTTCCTCAGACACCCGGCCTCAATCCTGTATCCGCCTCGGCGGCAAAAACAAGCAAAGTCACGTCCTCTCCATGCAAAATAAGAAGACAGCCAGACCCACAAAGAACATGCACAATAAAGTTATTTCAAACTTGAAAGGATTTCTTCGATAAAAATATATTAAGTATAACTAAAACTAGTTTGCTATTCCAGCGATGGCACGCAACCGTCCTGTAGAACATACACGGGAACTCACTGACGCATTGCAATTTCATGCGTGAATCCATCCACTGCGGGCATTTGGTACGAAGTCTGCCGTTCAAACAGAAGACTTGTTTTAACTTCTTCTGCCACTTTTGTCGCAGTGGGCTGTGGATCACTTGTGAACCCTTGAAACTCTTCGAGCCTTCATGAGCGCCCCCGCCACTCAGATCGTCTCATTGGCACTAGGTACATGTGACGGCAAACCGATTGTTACTACTAGCTTCTTGTTACTACTAGTAAGGCACCTGTTACTACTAGCGTGGCACTTGTTACTACTAGCTTGGGCAAAATGCTGCTATTTTCACAATGCTTCGCGAAGCCGCCCGCACGGAGTGTGTGCGTCTGTCTCGGTCTCAGTCTGTCTCCCGGGGTACACATGCGTCCGCCACGTCGATATTGCAATCTTCCCGGACCAGCATAACCGGCATCACGAACGTGTGGTCTGCAGGGGTGGCAGCAGGAACGAAAGTCACGCTGGCTTTCCGGGTCACAGCTTCTATCAGGAGCAAGGACGCTGCTAGGCTGTTCATATCGGGACCCACGCAGACTTGAGAAATTCTGCCGTGCGGTCCATCAATATGTGCGTGCATGCGGGGTTGCTGCCACATGACAAGTTGAAGGTGTGACGTATTAGGCCAATCGCATCGAATACCGACAATCCCAACCCCGTGAGCACATCGCGCAAAGGCAGTAGCTTGCTACAGCTGTTTGGGGAATGCAAATGGAATCAAAGCCAAAAGGATCTGACCCTCTCTTCTCAACTGAGGGCGTGTCGCAATGGCAAGTCCCCATCACTTGTAGGAAGCTCCCACACCAGGCGAAGCTCACTTGACCTACAACTTTTCTTCAAAGCAAACATCTGAATGTCTTGTTGTCTTCTTGTGTTGAACCGGATCCAAGAATCCAAGAAAGATTGGTGCTCTTCAAGCACGACATTTTACGGACATGCAAAATTGGCGACCGGCCTGGTTGCTGCGCGGACGACATGCAAGCCGCGAACAGGTGCAGGCGTTGTGCCAAGAAAGAACCTGCCAAAAGGTGGCCATAGCTTCTTAGATACTAGCTTGGAGGCCATCGCTAGCTTGAAGTTTGATTTCGGCATGTCTTTTGCCAAATTCCTCCCCTCCTGCAAATGATCAGCCCAACTTCTGACTTCTCCTTGACGATTGACCAGGTGCAAAGCCTGGAAGACTGCAACCTCTGTCGAGCATGCTTTGTTCTTTCCCTCAGCAACTCTGCACATGATTTTGCTCATGCGCAATGCAAAGTCAGCTTGTTCTAGTTCCTCTTGTTGAAGCGCTGCTCCAAGGGGATATAGCCTGCAAGATGGCATAAAATTACTCGAACCTAAAATATGAACCTATCAAGCTAGCTACTACATGTTACTGCTAGTTCTGCAGTCTGGAGCCCTTGGGCTTGGGTTTGTAAACTAAGTCCAACAGAACACGTAACCAGTGCACTCAAAACATTTGTGGAGTGTCAAGTGGGCAAATGGGTGTGAGGTCTTGATCGATTTGTTCCAACAAATCTTGACATTATTTTTGGCCCGCTGCCCCTCCTCCCTACTTAATTGAGTAGGCGCCTACTTAGTAGCTAGGTAGCTACTAGTATGAGGATAGCTCACGCTTCTTCAAGGAAGCTCTCCCCCCCGTCCTAAACGCGGCGGGGGAAGCTTCCTTAAAGCGCTCGCACTAATGATTTGGCTCCTAGTAGCGATGCCCTTTGTTCCTAACTAGTAGCTTCTTGTTCCTAGTAGTAGTGCCAGGAGCTACTAGTAGCGTCCTTGCCGTGTATAAGTAAGTGTTGGTGGTTTGAACACCGGCATTTCGGGTTCAGTCTCTCCATTTGAACACTTCAGTGACCTTGTCAACCGTCACAGAAAACCCATTGCTGGAAGTCTCATGTTTCGCTCACTTGAAGATGATCGAACCTGTGCACAGTAGTTACAGTGCTTGCTATGCATGAACAGTTTTTGTGCGGCAGCCCAGCTGATGGAGGGCAAAAAAATTAGTTGTGGTCATCAGTGGAAAAACGAAGTAACAAGACCTGGACAAAGCATGCGCAGGTGCAACAGCAGAACACCCGCGACAACATAGCACAAAGGTGAGCACAAAGGTCCTCCACCCTACTAGCGATGGCCTCCAACCTACTAGCGATGGCCAACCAGCGAAGGCCTTCAACCTGCTAGCGAAGGCCGTCCCACCTACTAACGATGCCTCCTAGAAGAGATGGCCTCCAACCAACTGGCGATGGCCTCCACCCTGCTGGCGATGACCTCCAGCCTACTAGCGATGACCTCCAACCTACTAGCGATGGCCTCCACCCTACAAGCGATGGCCCTCCACCGTACTAGCGATGGCCTCCAACTTACCATCACTGAAAAAATCCAACCCCTTGAAACAGAAGGGTTTCAAACAGAAAGGATTTTTTACAGCAGCTCACAATATCGCACTTTATATTGTTTATTTGTTTTCTATATTTTATGCTTGTTTATGGATTTTTTTGGTCCTAGTTAGAGGCTCAAAATTAAAAGACGAGGTTCATCACTTATATCATCAAATCGAATTCAATATAGGTTCATAGTTCTTCACTCATATTTTTATAGTCGGTCCTTTGATATTTCTTTAATCATTCTTTTCTCGCAGCGAACTAACTGGGGTTTGTGTCAACATACACCATTGATGCCATCGCATCTTACGTCCACATCTGGGCTGTCCTGTTCCCCATTCATGCCATCGCATCTTACGCCCACATCTGGAGTTACGTCCGCATCTGGACTGTCCTGTTTGTCAGCATACAATGTTGCGGCCATCGCATCTTACGTCCACATCTGGACTGCATCTGGACTGTCCTGTTTGTCCTGTTGCCCAGGGCGGGATAAACGAAGTTTGGGCGGGAAAAATGGAAGGATTCTACCAACGGATCCCCACCTCCACAGCCCATACTGCGTCGGACAACATTTCGTGACACATCATTGAGTGAAACGTAGGGCGCATGAGACATCATACACATGCGCATGTTCTTATATCGTTGATCATTATGGGTGAAATATAAAACACATACACATCCGCATGTATCACACACGCTCAAATCATCTCATGCATACGAGCGCCCGTGCGACAACTCTTTGTCACATCACTTTTTGAACCGGTCGAGAACACACTCCCTGCTCTAACAGGACTATAAAGCGATATCACTACGTGACTTCAATCTTATGGTCCTAGTTAGAGGTTCAAAATTAAAAGACGAGGTTCATCACTTATATCATCAAATCGATTTCAATATAGGTTCATAATTCTTCATTCATATTTTTTATAGTCTGTCCTTTGATATTTCTTTAACCATTCTTTTCTCGCAGCGAACTGGGGTTTGTGTCAACATACACCATTGATGCCATCGCATCTTACGTCCACATCTGGACTGTCCTGTTCCCCAATTTCGCTTCAGCACTCACAACTGAAACCATCGTTTCAGAGGTCAAAGGACAGACCGGCGCTACGACGGAAATCTCACCTAGGAAGTCGAGGCCATTCAGGCTCCCTCTGCTCGGCAGATCGGCCACGTTCGAGTCGGAAGGCACTCTGGCCGCCCACACGAAAGAAGGAGAATCGGCATCTACTTCTTCAATCTTCATCAGTAGTTGTCTCCACATACTATCCCTAGAGTTCCCCGGGATGTAAGAATCTAAGACTGCTCAATTGTCGATGAACAGGATGGCTCTCTTGAGCCTCAAGCGCTCTTTCCACAAGTCTCTTGCGACCACAATGGCATAAAGTTGTATGAATGCCACAAGCTCAACAAGGACTGAGGGAATCGCATCCAAACACCAGCGTCTGGCGTCCCTCTTCCAAAAGGACGCCTCCTACTCGAGCCACAAAGGAGCCGTCTGTGAACACCACAATCGGCTTCTCGTTACACTTAAGGTCCACAGTCCTAGGCTTATTATCCAAGAATCTCTTACGAAGAAGCTCTAAAGCTTCCACTGCTTGAGGTTCTAGATCTACGGGTGTCCTGGAGTGAAGGCCTACTTCCCTCAAGTCAGCCATGGCCAGCTTTCCCGCCCTTCCGGACAACTGGCCGTCTGCGAACTGAACCCTACCAAGGAAAGAAGGCAAAGTCACAGGCACTATTTTTCTATCCAAAAGGATGGAATTCAGGGTGTCTAACACTTCCGTCCTACGGGTTTCTTTCATAGAGTGGATGAGCTTCCCTTCCTTAAGTCTCCCACAGTCTACAACGATCCCCAACACCTCAGCTTGTGACGGCAGCAGCCATTGAAGACGTTGCACTCCCCTTGGGCGTCGCAAGAGGATAGTCGTCGAAGTAGTTCACCCACGGTAGCCTCATATTCGACACTCCCAAGGCCCACACAAGTCTGGCCACCCTGTTGAAGCAGTGCACTGACGTGCTAGCTCCGAAAGGCAAACAGTTCATGGCGTACAGGTCGGTCCCTTCGTGTTGGTCGCTCCTAAGACACACTACGGCCTTGTTCCTGTCATCCGAGTGGATACCGAACTGCTTGTATGCATCTTTGATCAACTGTGGTCAGTTCACACATAAGCGCATCTGCAGTCCAGCCCGGATGAACCTCGCCCCTCAGTCTTGTCCCGTCCTTCAAAGGCAAGTCAATGCACCTCTCTTGGCCAGCATGTCTGTAAAGGATCGAGGTCAACCACGTCAATTGGTCCAGAGCATGGAGGTCGATCTTTTCGGGAACTGTCCAAGCTTCATTGACGAAGTTTTCAGAGAAGTTATCTATGGGCCTAAGCTTATTCTTCTGTCTCACTGCGAACCTTTGCACCGGCAACCAATCACTGCCCACCTCTGCCTTCACTTGTTCGAAAGAGAGTGGACCCTGCAGCCAGCCCTTCTCATCCGCCTCCGATCTGGTGATCGCGTTCAGCTCGGCAAGATACTCAGGCTTGTCCATATGTGACACTCTACCTAAAATGGCAGGCCTAACGAACTTTGCTTTCTGCATAAGCTCTTCAGGAGAGAGTCGTGCTGGCTTAGGTTCCCAACGAAACACATGCGAGCGAGACCCTTCACCTACCAGCCTGAAACCTTGCACCAGCTCCTCATGCAAAGAAACATCTGGCCAGTCAATGCTTTCGGCCAAATATCTCAACATAAGAAACTGTTTGTCTTTGACCAAGTGCCTCATATATGGGTAGGAACCTTTGTGTGCAGAGTGGCCTCCTCACACGCGAACCTCTCCCTCAAAACGCGAAGTTCTTTGAGAGTGTGCAGCCTTTCTTTTGTGAGTTCCCTGGGACTCATAGTCATGGCCTCGAACAAGCAAGTTAGCAAGCGGTCAGGCACGGGAAGAAGTGAATCGAAAGGGTGTTCAAATGCCCTGCTCGCCTGTACAAACTGTTCCATTGTTCGAAAAATTCCGAAGACACACAACCAACCACCCCGTTTTGCTTCAGTTCTCAGAAGTTTGGAATTCTTGGGGACTTGTTGAACGGAGTGAGTGATCCGCTGCTTGGAGTCGACCGTGGGTAAGTCGGACATTTGCACAGAGACAACCTCAAGGTATTTCAGGATTAGCTGGGGCATCTTACGACCTCTAAGCTGGGTATACGGCCGGGCCGCCAGGACAGCTTTTTCTGCGGTGGATGGGGGATCCCATCCTTTAGCCACCCCCCACTGTGCAAGAACATCGGAGTATGCCTCAGTGAGTCCGACGGGGTACTGAGCTTCCTTTGCGGTATTGAAGTGGTCATGTTCATCTGGACCCCATGGTTGGTGTGGGTGAGAGTCATCACAGAAAACGTTCAACATAGAGAAAGTGATGAAGTCCATTTCTTGCGAGCTCCGCCAAACATGCACGAATGAAAGTCGACGAAAACACATTCGGGCGTCAGCTGAGTCATGCATGGGAGCTCCCATAGCCAACTATTTGACGGGTTTTCGATCGTGAAGACATGACTCAATCGAATGAGAGTGAGAGCAAAGTTGCATGCATGCTGATACAACATGTTAGCTTGACGAACCTTTTCGGAGTCGACCTGGTTCATCCACGGAACCCCCATTGGGAACTGTTCGTTGCGCAACGGCTGGGGCCCTCGCTCGCCGTGCGCGAGTGGGATCTCTCGTGCTCGGGAGCACGTACCACATGGGAGGCCCATGTGCCATGCAACTACACTGGAATTGTCACGTACAAATTCAAGGAATTTCCAAGCGTTGTCCGAGGTCAAGTCCAAATTAATTAGTTTAGTGAAAGGACGGTGTCTATTGCGCTTACAATCAATTGGCAAGACAAGAAAACCACAGCTCTGAGCCGTCGCACTGAGAATTGCACTGCCTGCGCAAA